TACTTAATAACTAGTTATTTCATAGCCATTTGTTTATATCTTAAATAGAGGATATTGAGGGTTCACAGATAGAAGTCTTAACCATGTTATAGTCATACTGTGGAATGTGGTTCAGCCTTTAAAAAAAATGATGGTGTTCTATGTAACATGAAAAATATGACTGCTATGTTGTTAAATGGGAAAGCAAGGAAGACACTGGTACATAATAACATCCTGCCTCTGTGAGAAGTCATATGTGACCTGCATGAGCCTGTGTGTGCACCTGAGCAACAGTGTGTTAAGATGGACCCTGAGCATCTCACACCTGTTAGGGCTCCTCAGGGCAGGCCCCTCTCCAGTGACTAGAGTGGGGAGAGGAGGGCTCAGGACAGTGGGGAGAGGCTTCCCATGTGCACACCAGCCACGGCATGAGGCAGGGTCTCCTGCCCCCACCCTTCACTCCCCCATGCAGGTTTCTTGAAAGGGTGGCCTTAAAAAATAAATGGAACATATCCAATCCTATGGTTTTCCCAGTAACAATTGAAGATCAATCCTAAACTCTGTAGGAGTTCTGTTATGCACAATTTCTGAAAAGAACTAAATCAGTGGAAAAGAGATGTAAATCTTTCTTGTGGAAATTGCTTTGGAGAATCTACTTTTTACAGGGTTCTCAAGTGAACAGCAGGGTTGTGAGGTCAGGCCCCAGCCATATCTCGAGAGCAGAGCCACATCACCAGCAATGAACCCTTCTCCCAGAGAGGCAGGACAGTCACATGTGGACTGGGACATCCTGCCACCCTCCTGTTGTCAGCCTGCCACTGAGAAGGAGGAACCATAAACCCACTTTGCCCTCGGTAAATCGCCAGAGTGCCTGGTTCTTTCTGCCAGCACTGTCTTTCTCTCTTCACTATGTTGGCCCTTTTCCATTTGGGAAAAGTGAAATAAATTTTTTGTTCTTTCTATTTTAATATTTCGAGTTTTTCTCAAAACCCATGTCCACTAGCACATACCCTAACACTTCTAGCCCAAGTTAGTCCAAGCTTAAACTGTAAAGTATGGAGCTGGGCATATTAAGTTAGGAAACTAAACTATACCTTTGACTAGTGTGGTTTGAAAACTCTCCTTCTAAGAGGCACCTGCTCTTAGAGCAGGTGGAAAGGGCATAGGTGTGTTCCCATATCCACATGGACACATCACAGAGAACACAGGTCCCCAGCAAAGCCACGCCTGCCCATTAGTCCCTGTGGCATTAGTGGGTACCTCCGCCTACTGTCCTGTACATGTGCAGTATGATGTTTCCAGTGGACACAGACTACTTGTCTAAATTAAAAATTCACACATGGGAATAGGTATAGAATTTTAAAGACATATTTAAGGGAGGCATTTTTATTGTCACCTTAGATAATGAAAGGTTCTATGCAATTTGCTATAGAAAAGAACCACGGCTCGGTGCCTATAGCTCAACTGGCTAAGGCGCCAGCCATGTACACCTAAGGTGGCGGGTTCGAATCCCCAGCCTGGACCCGCCAAAACAACAATGACGGCTGCAACCAAAAAATAGCCGGGCACTGTGGCAGGCGCCTGTGGTCCCAGCTACTTGGGAGGCGGAGGCAGGAGACTTGCTTGAGCCCAGGAGTTGGAGGTTGCTGTGAGCTGTAATGCCACGGCACTCTACCCAGGGGGACAGCTTGAGGCTCTGTCTCAAAGAAAAAAAAAAAGAAAAGAACCACGCTGGAACTGGAGGCAGAGACTGCATCCTGGGAATGGGCCAGAGCCGTGGGGTGTGTCTGGCAGTGTCAGGACCTCAGGAGCATGTGACCCTGCAGGCACCCATGGCCACAGAGGGTATTTTCAGGGGTCTGAGGCCTCCCTGCAGCTCTGTCTTGCCCCTTCACAGTGGTCCTGCCTCTGGCCGACCCTCCAACCTGGGGGCAAGGTTTTTTACTGCCTTTTATCCTCAACAAGAGGCTTGTACTTATGAGCACTGACAATTAAGTTCAAGATCTCATTCTAGAAGAAGTGCTACAGACCTCACTGCTGGGAATCCCTATGATCACCTTCGAAGTCCTCCTCTTGGGAAGCTCCGCACCAATGCCAGCACCTGGTCCACCCTTCAATGCACCTTTTCTAGGATGAGTTTTCCAATTTAATTGTCATACCCATGTTTAGGGGACTAATGAGGAGAACGGGCCCAAGAGCAACCCTCAAGTAAGCACAGGGGCTGCCTGTGGCCTGGCAGAGGCCCCCAGCATGAAGCCTACATCATTCAGAGGCATGTGGGGGGCACACACCACTGGGTGGTGCTCTCGGGCTGGGGGATGTCCCCACCTGGCTTCTCAGGCCTGACTGCTCCTCCCCACACCCCAGAGGAAGGCATCTGGAGACTGTGTGAGCTCCTGGACGGGCAAAGACTTGCCACTCAGTAGCCACTTTGCCTTGGCAACTTAAGGGCTCCACACTTCAATGTCCTCATCCATGATGTGGGACTAATACCACCTGCCTCTGGGGTTTTTAGTGATTCCATGAGTTCATGTAGCAAAGCGCTGAGGATGGCACCCAGAGGAGGAATTCCTGTTTCAGTTTCTACTGTTACTACCAGTAGTGTCATGGTGCAGCCTATACTCCTGCACCCACCTGTGATGGGCTGATGCCTGACACCCACATTTGAATGTTGTGGAGGCAAAAAGAAGCACTCCATGCATTCTGGGACTGGCCCGCAGCCCTGAGCACATAAGGAATCACTGAGAATCCTAAAAATGTTGAAATTCTGTCCAGGCAAGTTATACCAAAACTCCTGGGATGTGGGTGTTTATAGCCGGTCCCCAGGCTGGAAGGTGTTTAAATATCAGGGTTGAATGAAGAGGGCAAGGAAGGCTGGTCCTCAGCCTTACAGAGCCCTGGGTGCCCAGAGGGTGCTTTCTGGCCTTTGCAGCACAGCCTGGGCTCTGTGCTGCTGTGATATTAAACATAAATCAAGTGTTTATGAATGGAGAAAGTGATTGGAAATATTTGCTCTCAGGTGCAGAGGGGGTGCATCACGAGTGTGGTCTGACCTGCACAGCTGCTGCCCTGAGTGCACAGCTGGGGCAGACATGGAGCCTGTCCCCACCAGGCTGCACTTGTCTGTGTCCAATGGGGCTCGAATCTGTGGGGGCAGCACCCTTGAGTCTGTGTATTCACGTCCTCACAGCCTCTGGCTGCCCCAGCAGGAGGAAGGCTCACTCAGCAACTGCTACACAGACAGTGACAAGCTAAACTACAGACACAGGGATCTCCTCCTGTTGTGATGTAGCAGTTGCTTAATGTGGTGTGAATTTATTATCTGTTAACTCCCAAAGCAGCAGTTATTAGTGTGACAATCTAATATGTAGTTATTGCATTACAGTTTATACTATGTATCAACATACCCCTTTAGAATAATAGAATAATATTATTCTACAATAATTATTAAAGGAGAAATTTGTCATTTCATGGTGAAGAGTGTTGAGCCTTCAGTGTGAATTCGTCAGCAAGAGCAGAGCTGGGTGGAGGTGGAGAGAGCTGCAGGTGCCTGCTGAAGCCGACACCCTCACGCTCATTCCCTGAAGGTCCTCTTGAGAACACTAGCGGGGTCTCTCTTACATGCCAGAGCAGGAGGTGCTCAGTTACAGGTGTCAGCCTCATGTAGTGCTCCCAGCTGCCTGCCCTGGGCACATTCAGGTCTGGGATTTTTGGTGACACATTCATAGTTGATCACCTGTGAACATATTTAAAGAAAACCAACATTTTTTTTAAATATGAAAGAACATTAGAATAGCATGAATTTATGTATTCATTTGAGCATTAGTATTTATACTTTCATTTTATAATGACTATACTTTCATTTTTATTAAAGATATCTAGAAAGAATTTTCATCCGCAAAACTTGGTTTATGGCCATATTTTCAGGGATGTATCTATATTCTTGATCTGTAAAACACTTTTTTGTTCAAACCACAGTTGTATATTCTTCACTGATATGTCTGTGCAGTTATTGTGCAGGCCTGGAGGGTGTGTCTGAGAGGAAGACCATTGTGTGTGTACTGGTTTTCCTGGCTAGCACATTGCTTCTGCAATAGCAAAGTTTAAATACAATATAAAATATTAGAGGTCACAAAACATAGTATAAATAACTTGGACTATAGTAAAAAGTCATAGGCTTATTTATTTATTTATTTAGAGACAGAGTCTTAAGCTGTCACCCTCAGTAGAGTGCTGTCACGTCACAGCTCACAGCAACCTCAGACTCTTGGACATAAGCGATTCTCTTGCTCAGCCTCCCAAGTAGCTGGGACTATAGACTCCTGCCACAATGCCCAGCTATTTTTTTGTTGTAGATGTCATTGTTGTTTGGCAGGCCCAGGTTTGAACCCACCAGCCCCAGTGTATGTGACCAGTTCCCTAACCACTGAGCTATGGGCACCAAGCCAGAAGTCCCAGGTTTAAATGTCAATTCCAGCAGAGAAGGCATATAAACAACCTAAAGCCATAGTGCTCTTCACCTGGAAGCTGGTAATGAGATATTTGCATGAGTTATCCTCACTAGGTGATTATTGAGACCAAAGAAGGGATCTGAAAATGTTCCAAAGTTTACACTATGCAAACTAAGCTATTCAATACTTCCATGAAGGTAACTTAAGATTTTGTTATTAATAAGGCATCTTGACAGCTAAAAATCAATCACTTCTTCTCAAATGCTTTAACTCAATGCAAATTGTCATTAAAGTCAGATTCCCTAAAATGGCAAGTGCTCTTCCCCAGGCCGTCTTGGGGTGTGGACCAGCAAGAACGAAGCAGTGATTCATTTGAAATTCAGAAAGAAAGCACCCATGCACAATGTGTCACTCAAATACTTTCTACCACAATGTGGTTACTTCTCCAAAGCTAATTAAATGAAGACACAAGCAATTTTGCTGGTGAAAGTTTCACAGAAAAATATTTCAATGATGCCTCTATTGCCTCTGCTGCAGTGGGCCCGGCCTCACCCCCCTCTGTCCCTGCAGCCTGCAGCGGCGTCTGGGACAACATCACATGCTGGCGACCTGCAGATGTTGGGGAGACAGTGACTGTGCCCTGCCCGAAAATGTTCAGCAATTTTTATAGCAAACCAGGTACACTGCATGTCACTTTCTGGTTCCTTTAGGCCATGTGTGTCCGAGGGTGGGTTTTTCCCCAAAGGTGCTTGAAGCAGATGAGCTGTGAGGTGATACACAAACTGCTGGTAGATTGGTGGAGAGTGTCTCATCTGGGGCACTGAACAAGTGTGTTTTGCCTTTACTCAGAAGAGATGACAGGGAGTTGGGCAAGCACGTGGCAATGCCTAGCGGGCCCAAGGCTGCAGACAAAACCCAGCAGGCACAAATGGGGGCTTGCACCTCCGGGCACAGAGCAGGTCCACACTTATGGTGGCCGCTCCTCACCCCACTGGGTCACGGTCACCCAGGTGTTCACAAAAGGGGCCTGAATTTTAAAAAGAAGTTGTTTTCTCTTTTGATTTCACATTTCCCCAGTAGGGGGAAGTTGGAAGGGAGTGTTCTCCCATGTCAGGGTAGGGAGACAGCCACCCTTCAGACTTGCAGTAGCACCACGTGTCATCATGGTAGCTGTGGTGCCCTGCTGTACCCATGCCCACGTGTCCAGACGCAGTAGATGGCTCCTGTCCAGGCCCTGCTGCCTGCTCCACACTACTGGGACCCAGGTGCAGGTCCTCTCCTGGGTAGCTGAACTCACCTCTGGACTATAGGGAGAGCTGTAAGGATCAGGTCCCTGGCATTTCCTACCCCAGCCCCTCTGCTGTCTGCTCATGAGGGAATGAAGGACAGAAAACATAAAGGACAGAGAGGAGAGGCCTTAATGGCTGGTGGCCTCTGCTGTAGCACCTCCAGGAATAGCCCTTTGTCCTGCTTTGTACCTGGCTGGCTCTGGTCTGTCTCCCTGAAACACTTCCTGTTTTTCATTTCTCCCTGGGGCCTGCCTGCCGATTAGGCACAGAATGCCATGTCCAGGCCAGAGGAAGTTGCTCGGCCCTTTGGAGTGGGTGTGGGGCTCCTGCAGGTCTGAGAGCAAGAGGCTGTGCAGGGCTCAGCAGGCCAGTGGGGACATGCAGACTGCAGGACACTCAGACGCCAAGACCCAGGGGCCTTCAGTGCTGCTGATCCCCCAAGTCAGAGCACACATGCCCTGCGTTGATCAGCTAGAGGCTGTAGGGCCAGCTCTGCCCTGCCAGACCCTGAGCAAGTCCCCTAACCACGGGTGACACAGGGCCCCAGGAGTATCACACAGGGCTCTGTAGGAGGTTGGCTGCCCAGATCCATGGTCAGGGATGTGCTAGGGCTCCCAGACCTAACTGTCACACAAACTTTGACCTATGAAAGGGACAGGGACTTCCTCCATCTCTGTCCCCTTCCTTCGTGCCTCCTCCATCTCTGTCCTCCTCTCTAGTTCCTCCTCTATCTCTGTCCCCCTCCCTCATTCCTCCTCCATTTCTGTCCTCTCTAGTCACTCCTTCATCTCTGTCTTCCTCCCTGGCTGCAGAGACCAGGTGCCCATTGGGGTGGCACTGGTGCGGGTCATAGGAGAAGCAGGCCCAGCAGACCTCTGATACCCATGAAGCACATCCCCTTGTTAGGCTGGCTGGGCTTGGGTCCTAGTGTCATCCTCTCTGCTCTGAGGCCTGTAGAGCTTTGTCACTTACTATTTGTGTGGTCATCTCCTGAGGACACACACACCCCCCAGTGAGCACCTGGTCTCTGCAGCCAGGGAGGGGGACAGAGATGGAGGAGGGACATTGGTGAACAAGAGAACACTGCATTTAGAAACAAACATTGAGATTGTAAGATGAAGACTGCCTCTGTTTCTGCAATTTGAACCTCAGTCTGCCAACCCCAGTGACCCAATGTGGCCTCCCTGGCACTGGCTGTGGTGGTGAGGTGTTGGTGAGAGCAGGCAGGACAAGGCCAGGGGCGCCAAAGCAAAGGGGCTGTTAAGATCCCAAACAATAGCCCAGCTGCCAGGCTTATAGGGCTCCTATGGCCAGTTTTCACAGAGTTGCAGATGAAATGTCTGAACCTTACTTTCCAGGAAACATAAGCAAAAACTGTACAAGTGATGGGTGGTCGGAGATATTTCCAGATTTCATGGATGCCTGTGGCTACAGTGACCCTGAAGACGAAAACAAGGTAGGCTGGAGACATGTCTCCCCCTGAGCAGAGGTGGACGGTTCCATTCCCAGTTCCTGGGGGTCACTCGGCTTCCCTCACCCAAGCAGCTGAGTGTTCTCCAAATTAGGCAAAGTCTCTATTTCAGCTCTGCTACCTGGCATTTGGAATCACTGTTTTAAACTACAGTTCAGTACCTATTTTTGGAGTCAGGAAAGGGCACATTTTCTTAATGCTCTCAGTATGTCCAAGGATGAGACAGAGATACCCAGGGTGGGCTCCAGCTGCTCAAAATTCATATTCCCGGCAAGTCCTGCTCCTTCTGCATTTCAGTTTCTTCATTCCTGTTAAGATTTTGCCAGAGTCTGGGCTGTTGAGAAGCTACCCTGAGCCTATAGCTAGGGTTATTGTATGTGCAGTTGACTCACATGACTTGCAGAACCTCCTGTCAGGGCTGTGGGAACTCAGGGCACAGTTTTCCAGGATAGCCACTGGCATTGGTGTTCCTATCCCAGGTGTGTCCAACACCCTTAGCAGCTTAGAACCAGGGAGGTTTGGACACAGGAAAATACCAGCCAAGATTGCACTAAAATATAGTCTTTCACGTCTCCACAGCTTGTCTATCTTCTCCACATCACTAAACCCCTGCCCTGCTCATTTGGGGATTTAATCACATGCTATTCCCTCTCTGAGGGTGTCCAGCCTGCACAAATGGCTCTGCAAGGGCTATTTCCTGATCATTCCTTTGTTCATGCTGCTAGTCCCACCACTAATGGCCCAGGTGTGTCTTTCTAGCAGCAGAAATCCTGGGCCAAGGCTTTGGGAGCCACTATCTTCCATGTCAGGGACTGTCTGGAAGCTGGGTGGATGCCACCCACTGTAGCCAGCCCCCTCGCAGAGTCGGGTAAGGGGATCTGACTCAGAACCTGCTCACAACCCAGAATCATCCCCCTGATGATATGGGCTTTCTGAGTAAGATGTCAGCCCCACAGGAGGACTGAGCAGGGAGGTGGAGGTGCTGGGCCCTGCCCTGAGCACCCTCAACTCCCACCCAACATGGGACAGGGAATGGGGGGACTTTGCATGACCTTTCACATCCCTCCTGTCCTGGTGTCATCCTCCCTGCTCTGAGGCCTGTAGAGCTTTTTCGCTTACTGCTTGTGTGGTCATCTCCTGAGGACACACTACAGCAGTCCCAGACTGGGCTGCTGGGCCATATTCAGACCTTTTTGGGAGCCACAGAATCTGGGGGGGCTTGTAGTCCAGAGGGTCTGACATCCCGGCAAGACCACAGGTGCCACAGGAGGGACCCTCTTTTGAGTCCCTCATAGGCGTCTAGGAGGCAGCAAGACATGTGCTGGTGGGAAGTGGTGCCCTGGGACTGGTGGCCTTACCCAGAGCTGTGTGCACCCAGGAGAGGTCGCCTGTTGTTCCTTGGAACCTCTGTTCCTCCACCATCGGTGATGACCTGGGCTCTGGCGTAAGGTGAGAATCAAACACCAGCCATGGCCACGGCAGTTGCCTCTGAGCCTCTCTCCCTTCCTTTCCTACATTTGCAACTGGAGAGCATTCCCAGAGACACCGTCTGGGCGTTTCTTTGGTCATTTGGTCCTTCTGAGAGGCTGTGGGTGGATCCTGCCTGCTCAAAGCAGAGACTTGTGATCCTCTAAGGCTTTTTTGTTCAGTCTGAGGAACTATTTTTCTTCTTAATTAAACATTTCAGAGATTCTGCAAATATCATAAAAGCATATTCCCTACTAACAGATTAGAAAGTCAAAATATTTTTATATGAGAAAATGATGGTACCAAACCAAAACAAATAATTTTTCTTCCTGATTACAGTTTCCACTCTTGAAATACTTTAAATCCTTGGTTGTTTTCAGGACTCGTTCCAAAGATTAAATGATGGCACACACCATGTGACATTCCAGATGCCCCCAAACACTAGGATTGGTGCTAGGTGGCCACTGGCAGGTGTGGGCTGTCCAGGTGCCGGTGTCCCTGCTGGAGAGTGACTCCCGAGGGTCTCACTTTTTTCACAGATTTATTATATTTTTAATTTGATTTCCTGTAACCATATCACCAAATCCTGCTGGCCCATTGCATATGCAATCCTCTTTGGTTTCACAGTTAATTAATTCCATAAGAGCCATTTAGCTCCTGGAACAGCCACAGGCTTAGCTCCCTGTGTGAGGTCAGAAGGTAAACTTTCCTAGGCAGAGGAAAGTACACCCCAGAGGGCCTCTTGTAGCTGAAACTTTTGGGGCCAGGGACCCCCAGAAGCCCTGTGGGGTGTGACTGTGGTGTTTGCCTGGCAGTCACATCCCAGAGCAGGCTGGCCTGCCAGGGTCCCCCTCCTGTCACCAGCTGCCACATCTTCCCAGTCTTTCCCAGAACTTTCACACAATTCTTCCAGTCTGTGTTTTCCTTCCTGGAGAGCTGTCAGGCGTCACACCTCATTATAGGAACATTTTCACTTCAGGCCTTATGCCCTTTCATCAGTGAGCAAAGGCTGATCCCCACCACCCTGGTGCCTTGGCCCACGGGTGGCACCAGCCACTTTTCTCTCCTGGTCCTCATGAAGCTTCTCCAGAAACTGGCTGTTCTCAAGTTAGGCAAACATCACATCAAAGTGCTTGGGCTCACCACCACGGGAGCTCCCTGCCCTGCTAGGTGGTGCTGACCAGCGAGACTGCAAAACAGAACAGGACCCACAAAGGAGATGGCAGCATGTGGGCTAGCCTGAAATGGGGCTCTGCTGGTCCCTCCCCCCCCCGGTCTGGAACAGAGCTCTGCTGGTACCCACCCCCCGGACCCCCAGCCAGGGGCACATGGCTTGTGGATCTCCTTACTCTACAAGTTCTGACTCAGGGGTCTGAGGGGCCAGAGACCCTGCATCTCTCATAAGTCCCCAACTAGAGTCAGAGCCTGGGGTCTTGATGTGAGAAGCCAGAGCCTTAGTCTCAGAACAGGGCCTGGGTCATTCACTGAAGCTCCCCACCTCACATCCCACCCCTGCTCAGACCCAGAAACCCAGCACCATACAGAGTATGGCTTAAATCACTGCTCCAAAAAGCTCCTGTCCAAGCTCATGCTTCTGGAAACCTGGAGCATTGGGAGGAACACTTCTGTCAAAAACCTGAGCTGCCCCTAGAAACCTAATGGGATAGGGGATTTTACTTCAGTGGTTTAGAAGCTTCATGTGGCCACTGACAGGAGAGCACAGACAGGATTGCTTGTGAGATACAGTCAAATCTCAGGCTGCAGCACTTTGCAGCTGCCACGTAGTCCCTGCTCCACAGTCAGGGGTGGCAGGTTATGGTATGTGAGGTGCACTGGAGCTAGTGGGAGAGGTGTCCACTCCGAAAGGACTCCTACCTTGTGTGTTTGCTGCCATAGTTCTTGGAGAAAGAGCACTTCTGCTAAATTTAGCCTCTGGCTGGGCTGGCACTCAGCCTCCCCATGCATCAAGAGGACACATTTCTTCCATGTTATGCTGTATTCCTAAAATATTACTACACTCTGCTTTTAGCACTCAGACCACTGTGACAGCTCTGGCCTCCCCACAGCTCCCACCCCTGAAGGCAGTGCTCTGACACCCAGTACTTCTGGGGAAGCTCCTTCTGCTCACCTCACCCGCCCCATTCAGCCCAGCTTCCCTGAACTGCTACCAGAGTCAGGCAGAGACCCTCCTAGAAATGTCCCAAATCACCACCTAGGAGACCACAAAGATCCTAAAGGGCATCAAACCACCCAGGAGTCATGATGTGCTTCTCCAGACAGCTTTGTTCAGCTTCCCAACAGTTCCCAGGACAGCGAGTTCCTGTTATTCACATCGATGGCATAGGGAGCCTGTTGTGGTTTCCAGGCCATGCTCAGTACAAACCATGGAGATAGGTGGCTCCAATGATGAGAAGGGACTCCATGGGGAGCCTGTTCAGCAGCCAGCAGGGATGCGAGGGCAGAGGGGACACCAAGGCTGCCCTCAGGTTCAGGCAGAAATCTGGCTACACATGGAAATGTGATCCAGATGTCCTCTTGCTAGTCTTCACCCAGGTCTAACTGACCTGTGCATGGGATGCTGAGTATTTCCCAGATAAACAGATGAGTCTTTTCCAGGCCAGAGGAGAGACATCACCAGAAAGGGGGGGTAAGAAGGAAAATGCACAGGGACACAGTACCCCCATAGGGAAGACTAGAGTTGGTGTCATCAGGAAAAGGCAAAGGGACTTGGACATTGGCAGGGCGGGGACAGAGGTGCCAGGCTCTTCTCAGAGAGGGTCTTCTGGATGCTGGCGGCAGGGTGAGCTGTGGCCACAGTGTGGATTCTCACAGACCACACAGGACCAGGACCTGAGAGGTCTGTCCTATGCAGCCTGGGCAAGCGTTAGCCCACCAGCCCCTCTGAGCCAGGGAGGCCCCTGTCCCACTGCTGCCTCTGTGGGAGAGACAGACGGAGACAGGTGGACAAGGCCATCCCCACTGGAGACTCAAGAACCAGCATCATCCCGCTGCTCTACCGCAGGCACCGTACAAACCTCAGGTCCTGAGATAACCGAAGACAGCAAAGGACACAGCACTGGTCTCACTGGCTGGCAGGGGCTGCTGAGGAAACAGAGGGAAGATTTGCAGAGTCACCACTGACCACGTTGGCACCATCGGGAGCGTGGCTGGGGACTGGCGGGCAGCTCCGGTCCTCAGTGGGGACGTGAGGGATGCCACACTGAGCCCTTTCCCTTCTGATGCCCTTTCACTGTATTTTCTACTTTTTCAAAAGTAAGAAGATACTACAATTCAAATAGAATAATATTTTAAGTCCTAAAAAAAACACTTAAATTTATATCAGGTTTGTCTTTTGACCCTGGACTTTGTCAGGACAATGAGGAAATTATATTGTTACATTCTCTGCAGTCTTTTTTAAAACCTATTTTGAAGTGAGTTAGTTGCAAGACTCACACGAGGAGGTGAAGCTGGTTTGCTCCCTCCTCCTTCTGTCCTCCCTCCACAGACATGTGCAGCCA